ATTCCTGTGCCCCCCCCAGCCCCACACATGCCCCCCCACCTGCTGCCATGCCGCCCCACGCCCCACACGCGGATGCCGCCCACGGGCTGCGCGTGCAGCAGTGCCCGGTCCTGGGGGTCCACCAGCTTCAGCGTGCGGTCCTCGAGCAGCAGCAGCGCCCGTGCCTGGGGCCACGGCAGGGTCAGGAGGATGCTCCGCTCCCCCAGATGCTGGGGGGCAGTGGAGAGGGTGTGGGGTGGATGTGGGGGGCACAGGGGGGTCGGGGTCGCTCACCTCCCCCCAGGTGCCCTGGGGGCCATCACGAGGCGCCGAGAGCTGCCGGATGCAGGCGCTGACAGCGCTGCTGCTGCGGCCAGGACCCAGCTCCTCCTCCCGCAGCTGCACCCAGCCCAGAGAGCGAACCAGGAGGCCCTGGGCGCAAAGGGGGGAATTGGAGTCAGTGTGGGAGGTGTGGGGCTGGGTGTGTGTGGGGCAGGAGCTGTGGGGCAGCAGAGAAGGGAGTGACACAGGGCAGGAAAGGCATAGAGCATGAGGCAGGGGTGCTGTGGGGCGGGGGCTGTGGGGCAGAGATGGTGAGGGGCAAGGGGGCAGGGGGCTGGTGTGGGGCAGCCTCAGCTCCCCAGCAGTAACCCGAGCCCTCACCACCCCAATCTGTAGAGCCCCAGGCCCCCGCAGAAGGGCATGGCCGAGGCCCCTCCCATGCAGGTGACATCCCTGGGTTGGGTGCCTCAGCCCCCCCAGCAGTGGGCCACACCCCACGGGAGTGGGGAAGGGGCCCTGTGGGCTGGGAGGGCCAGGACAGACTGGCCTTACCTTGGAGTTCAGCGCATCCTCTTCACCCAGGGTCATGCTGCAAGAAAAAGGGTGGGGGGGGTCAGTGGCTGCACCCTGAGACCCTGGAGCCTCCCCAGCTCCAACCCCTGCCCCTGAGAGCCTTCTGGGATCCCCCACAATGACATACACGGGTCATTGCACCCCGAGTACCTCTGACTTTCCCTCACAAACCCCTACCTTGAGATCCTGGGACTCCCCCAAGTCCAACCTCCATCCTGAGACCCCATTTCCCTGCCCCTCACCTGGGTCCCTGCCCCACTCAGACTTCAGACACCCTCTCTCCATTCTGTTGCTTGTCACCCAGGGTCCCACATCCCCGCAGGGCCCAGGCACAGTCCTGCCCATGCCCTGCATTTTCCACGTGTCCCCCCAGTCCCTGTGCCCCCCAGCGCACCCCTCTCCTGGTGATCCTGGGCCTGGTGACAGCATCTCCAGGTCTGACACTCCTGGCTCCTCATCTTCCTCTTCTTCCTCTTCCTCCTCCTCCTCCTCCGCCGTGGGATCCTAGGGGCAAGGGCAAGGGCAGCCTGTGGGGCTGGGGGGGCACTGACCCCCCACCCCTTCCCATCCACTACCCGCTCTCACCTTCCACAAGTCCCCATTATTGAAGGTCTCAGCCGGAGCAAAGCTCGTCCAAGAGAGCTGCAAGAGTTTGGGTCAGGGTGCTCCATAGGGCAGCCCCACAGCAGTTCCCCAATCACCCCACAAGTGCCCTATGGCTCCCCACAATCACCTCGCAGCACACTATGGGAGCCCCATAGTAACCCCAAGAGCAACCCACGCCCATACCACACATGCCCCGCGCCCCTCACAGCCACCCCACCATCATTTCCCAGTCACCCCACGGCCTATAGCCACCCCCTGCGGCCCCACAGTGGCTGCAGAGCCACCTCCAGCCCAACCCCAGCCCCCTCAGTCCCGACTCACAGTGGGCCCCTCGGTGGGGGTGCTGCCGTCGGAAGGGGTCTCGTGGGGCCCGCCGGGGGGCTCCCACTGGGTGGTGCCAGTGGGGACATGCCAGTAGTAGGTGCCCGAGGTGTCCTGCACCCGCAGCCAGCCGGGGGGCAGGTCCTCGTGTGCTCCCGCGCCACACGGCCACAGCGATTCTGCAGGGCATGGGGGTCAGCCCCAGCCCCACGCACAGCTCCACACAGCCCCCTGTGCCCAGGGACATCGGGATGCCCCAGGAGGGCTCCACAGAGACAAGGGGGCAAAGAGGGGGACATGGAACTAACAGGGGCTGGGGACACAGAAGAATGGCCAGGGGGCTGGGGGACCAGGGGACCAGGAACGGCACCCAGGGGGCTGGGAGCGTAGCGGTGAGCACACTGCCAGGGATTAGGAGAGATGTGAAGCTGACAGGAGCACTGGGGCACGGCAGGAAGGAGGAGGTGGGGGCAGCCAGCCATCAGGCTCTGTGGGCACTTGTGGGGCACCCAGAGATTGTCAGAAGCCCCGTGGGGCAGCTGTGGGACAGCGAGAGGTCAGCGTGGGGCTCCGTAGGGCAGCCATAAGTAACTGGGGCTCCAGGGGTCGAGTGCCCACCTGGTTCATCGGGGGAGCTGCCAGGGCTGCCCTGGCTCAGCGTGGCCCAGCTCGAGTCCTCGTCGCTGCCAGGGCCGGGCCCCCCGAAGAGGCGGCTGGCGCTGCGCCCCGGGAGCTCCCGCAGGCCCCGCTCTGGGCCCAGAGCCGGCGGAGAGACCCCAGCCCCATCCTCCTCCTCCTCGTCCTCCTCCTCATCTTCTTCATCATCCTCCTCCTCCTCCGAGGCGCCGATCAGCCGGGCCCGTGGGTCGCGGGCGGCGTTCCGGGCATTGCGGGCCTGGAGCCCCGGCTCGAGCGCTCCGGGGGACTCCCCGTGCGCCCCGGGGGACCGGCCCGGCCCCGGCCCCGGCTCGAGCTCGTTGCGGTTCTGGTCCTGCCCGGCCTTCGCCCACCCGGCGGCGGGCAGCTCCTCGGCCGGGGCCCCCCCGGGCCCGGTGCGGGGCTCGGGGGGCGCTCCCAGCCCCAGGCTCAGCCCCAGGCACCGGTTGTCGTTGGCCAGATCGCTGCGCTTGCTCAGGGCCCCCGACATGGCGCGAGGACACGGGGACAGGCGGGACCCCCGGCGCGGCGGGACCCCCGGCCCGGCCCGGCCCGGCCGCAGCTGCCCTTGCTGGGGTGGGGAGGAAGGGGGGTCCTACAGCCCCCGGGGCGCCTCCGCGTCCATCGGGCCTGTGGGGAGCGGGGAGTAGCACGGGGACCCCCGGCCACGGACGCTGCACGGCCCTGGGTCCTCCCAAGGACTCGGCACGCCCCCGCAGCCCTCTCACGGAGCCGGACAGCCTTCCCCAGCACCGGCATCCCCCCACGCCTCCCCCGGGACTCGGGGACCTCCCCAGCACCGGCATCCCCCTCGGCCCCGGCATCCCGCACTGCCCCCGCCGCACGGCCCCGGGTCCCGCCGCAGTCCCCTCAACGACCACAACCCCCGGGGTCACCGCGCCACTCCCCCGGCCCGGCTTCCCTCCGCATTCGCCCCACGGCCCTGCCAGGGGACCCCGCACCCACGGACCTTTCCCGCTCCCCCCGGCCCGGGCCTCCGGGGTCTCCGCCAGCCTCACCCCCCATCGCTGCCCGCAGCGCAGCGGGGCCGGCCCGGCCCGCGTCCCCCCCACGCTCTCTGCCCCCACTGCCGGTACCTGCGGCGGCGGCTCCGCTGCCGGGGGTCGCGGGGGAGGGTGGGGGGCTCGGGGCCGCGTCACTTCCACTTCCGGCCGGCGGGGGGACAGCGCCGCCTCCCGCGCCCGCACCGGCACCCGGGCACCGCACCGGGTCCCCCGGCATCACCGGGATCCCGGCATCACCGGCACCGCACCGGGACCCCCGGCATCACCGGGACCCCCGGCACCACCGGCACCGCACCGGGACCCCCGGCACCACCGGCACCGCACCGGGACCCCCGGCATCACGGGGACCCCCGGCACCACCGGCACCGCACCGGGACCCCCGGCATCACCGGCACCGCACCGGGACCCCCGGCATCACCGGGATCCCGGCACCACCGGCACCGCACCGGGACCCCCGGCACCACCGGGACCCCGCCGGACCCTCCCCGGCACGCACCACCGGATTCCCCCGGGGCTCCCGAGCACCCCCCGGACCGGGAGCCCCAGGCCTTGCCGGCGGCAGGTAGCTCCGGGCCTGGGCGGCAGCAGGAACTGGGCGGAACCGGGGACCTTCCCCCCGGTGATACTCCCGGGGCCGGTGACGCCCGTGCCCACCACACTGTTCCGGGCGGGACCCCCGGTGCTCCTAGCGGCACTCCCAAGGCACCGGGCCGGTTCCGCCCTGCTGCCCCCGCACTGGCACCGGGACGGGGTCGGGGGCAGCACTGGGACTCCCTGCGGCTGCTGTGCCCCCGGAACCCCTGAAACACTCGGCTGGACCGGGAGGGTATCGAGGCTCCCAGCTCTTACCCACGCCAGAGGGGCAGCACTGCGGAGAGCAGGGGGTCCAGCTGGGAGCAGCGATGGTGACACAGGCTGTGCAGGATCCCTGCACCCCGTGTGTACCACTCTGACCCTGTAGAGGATCACAGTCCTTTAGTTCGATACGACCTCCGAGGCTGAGTCCAACCTGTGCCCGATGCCCACCTTGTCCCCAGCCCAGAGCCCTGAGTGCCACGTCCAGCCCTTCCTTGGGCACCTCCAGGGATGGGCACTGCAAAGCTCCCTGGATAGCCCCTTCCAGTACATGGCAGCCCTTCCCATGAAGAAATTCTTCCTGATGTCCAACCTGATCCCCCTCAAACACACCTTGTGGCTGTTTCCTCTTGTCCTGTCACTTGTTTCCTGGGAAGGTGGCCCTGAGCCTCCTTTTCCCCAGGCCCCTCTCCCTCCTCCCGCTCCTGGGGCTTCAGCCCCTTCCCCAGCTCTGTTCCCTTCCCTGGACACGCTCCAGTCTCTCTTGCAGGACCCAGAACTCAACACAGCCCTCAAGGGTCTCACAGTGCCCAGCACAGGGGGACAGTCCCTGCCCTGGGCCTGTGGCTACACTGGGGCTGGGACAGTCCAGGTGCCATCGGCCTCTTGCCCACCTGGGCACACCTGGGCTTGCGTCCAGCCACTGTCACTAGCAACCCCAGGTTCTTTCCCAGCCCCTCTGTCCCAGGCTAGAGTGTTGCAGGGGGTTTTGGTGACCCAAGTGGAAGACCCAGGACTTGCCCATGTTATCCTCACACTGTTGGCCTTGGCCCATTAGTCCAGCCTGTCTAGATCCCTCTGCACAGCCTTTCTGCCCTCAGCAGATCCACATCCCACCCAAGTGTGTGTGGTCCATGAACTCACTGAGGACACACTCGGTTGCTCCATCCAGATCATTGATGGCTCTGTTGGAAGCACTGGCCCCAGCACTGAGCCCTGGGGAGCCCCAGCAGTGCCTGCCCCCAACCCCCCGATGTGGCCCAATTCCCACCCCTCCCTGGGCCTGGCTCTCAGCCAGGTGTTCCCAACAAGGAGCACCTGTCCCAGCCAAGCTGGAGGTCCTCCATGAGAAGCCGGGGAGATGGAGATGTTGCTAAAGGCTTTGCTGAGCTTCAGGCAGGCAGACACACCCACACCTATCCTGCAGGGTCACCCTGTCCCGGCAGGAGACCAAGCAGGTAAGGCAGGACCTGTCTTTCCCAACCCCCAGCCGGATCTGACGCCCTAATTGTACTGCCCATGCCGTGGGACCCACAGGTGATCTGCTCTAGGGCCTTCCCAGCATTAGGACCGAGAACAGGCATGGACTTCCCTGGATCCTCCCACCAGCCCTGCTTGGGAATAGGGTCACTGGGCACCTCTGAGGCCTGGGAACCCCCGGGGGGCTGGTGGGGAATGATGAGAAGGGGCTGGGTGAGCTCTGCTGCCATCCAGGATTCCCCACGGATGGCCAGAGCTGGTGAGGACCCCTCGGAGCAGCTCTGTGACCCCTCTACAGCCCCTATGGCATCCCCAGGGACCCACAGGGTCTGAGCAGCTCAGCAGGTCACTGACCACTGTCTCCTGGGTACACAGACCAGTATGGACCAGTTCCTACTCCTAGTACAGACCACTCTGACCCAGTCTCCACACCAGTATAGTCCAGTCTGACTCAGTACAAGTACGTACCAGTCCAACCCAGACCCTGCTGCCAGCACAGACAGATCAGTCTAACCCTGTCCCCACTCCCAGTCCAGACCAGTCCAAGCTAGTCCCTGTTCCCAGTCTGTCCCTGTCCGTGCAGATGGGACAGTGCTGGCAGAATGCCCAGGCCAGGCAGGTGCCCATGGTGTCATTGAGCTCCAGGCACCATTCCTGACCCTGCTTGGCCTGGCACTGTCTGGGGGTGTCCAGCACAGCCGGGAGGGCCCACAGGACACGGGGAGCTGCAGGGCAGGGTGTGCGAAGGACAGGCAGGGCTATGGGGCGGCACAGGGCCAGGGTACTTCCAGAATACTTTATTTTGTACATACAGTTTGTCAGCGTGCGGCAGCCGCCCCACAGCCCCCGGAGCCCCCCGGAGCTGTGGAGCAGCAGTGCAGTGGGACAGCAGTGCCATGGGGCAGCAGGCACACACAGTCACCCCACAGCTGGGGAGGAGAGCTAGGGAGGTGGGGGGCAGCCCTCAAGGGGCATGGGGCTCTGGACTGGCCAGCCCACAGCCCCCCCAAGCCCTTCCAGCAGCTCCTCCTGCCCCTCACACTCCCCACGTCTTGGGCACCCTGTCAGTGGGATGCTGGCCCTGCCATGGGGCAGGGTGAGGGGTCAGACCATGACACCGAGGCAGTCCTCACCCCACGGGACGCATCCTCACCCCCCAGGCCTGGCTGCCCCCTGGGATAAAGTGCACATGAAGCCAGGATGGCGCTTGGGGGGCAGGCGAGGCCATGGGGCAGCTGTCACCGCACGCGCCCCGCTGCAGCCGCGGGCTCCATCCCGCAGCCGCGCCGTGGTGTCCTGCCCGTCACTGCAGGTAGCGATAGGCCTTGAAGCAGTGGTTGCCCGAGTCGGCCACGACAACGTGGCCGTCGGAGGTGAGTGCCAGCCCCTGTGGCCCGTACAGCGGGTCAGCCGCCGTGTTGATGTAGGACAGGAACGAGCCCGCACTGTCGAACACCTGCAGGAGGCGCACACAGCTGTGCCCAATGGCCTCACGGCCCAGGGACACCCAGCCCCAATGGCCCCCAGACCTGCAGGATGCACTCCCTGCGAGGGGATGTGGTCAAGATGCCCCCTAGGTCTATTGCAATTAACCCGAGACCCTTCTCAGTTGCTCTCAGGTGACCCCAGATCCCTTCCCAGTCCATCCCAGTTGCTCTCAGTTGGTACAAAACTCTTCCCAGTTCCTCCCAGATGACCCTAGACCCCCATGGAGCACTCCCAGTTGACCTGAGACCCTTTGTTGCTCCCCGTTGACTCCAGCTGCTCACTGTTGACCCTATACCCCTCCCAGTTGACTGCAGACCCTGGACAGGCTCTTCCCAATTGACCCAAGATCCTTTTCAGCTGCTTTCACTAAAACCGAGTCGCTTCCTGGTTCCCTGTGGGTGCCCCCACAGCGCCTCACAGCAGATCACGTGGGTTGGCGGGTCAGGATGGGATGGGGCCAGCGCTGGGCCCCCTTGGGCTGCAGCGGGGGTATGTGTGCAGGTAGAGGTGTGGGTACAGATGTGTGTGTGCAGGCACAGGTGTCTGCAGGTAAAGGTCAGTGTGCACATGGGTGTGTGTGTGTGCAGGCACAGGCACAGGTGTGGTACCTGGATGCGGCTGTTGCCCCAGTCAGCCACGATGATGTTGCCATTGCTGTCCACGGCCACCCCTGTGGGTGCGTTGAACTGCCCGTTGCCCTCCCCATGCGACCCGAACTTGAACAGGAACTCGCCCTCTGCGTTGTACACCTGGCGGGCACGGGGGGACAACACATGGGAGTCATGGGGGTCACTGCAGCACCCTGAGAGCACCAGGGGGATCTCAGCACCTGCCTGTGGCTGCACTCACCTTCACAGAGTGGTTGTGGAAGTCAGTCACCACGATCTCGTTCTTGTTGTTGACAGCCACAAAATGGGGTCCT